CCACAGCATGAACCAGCACCCAAAAGGCTCCCTGAAAAAATGAAACGGCTCCATTTACTTGCTCAGGGCGTTCAGCCCACCCACGCCTTCGCATCGTTTGAACCTGCAGGCTCCCAAGGAAGAAAGCCCTTCCCACAACACAGTTTGGGCCGCAGCTCCCCGACACAGAGCTGAGCCCAAGTCCTTCCCCAGCACCACCAGCCCTGCAGCTCTTACCAGCGGGGGGCTGCCCATAGGACGTGGCATACGCAGTCTGCCCATACGTTGCAGTTGTCTGAGGCTGTGTGTAGCTGGCATCGGTGGGCTGTCCGTAAGTCCCGTAGCTCTGCTGCCCGTAGGTCTGCTCCAAAGATGAGAGAGATTTAATTTGTGAGCAGAAACAACTCGCCCGTGTCTCACAGATACACACAGATTGTTTTGGTGCTGCACACAGACTGGGGGGATCTGTGTTACCTGGTTTACTGAAAGCAATCTGAGTCAAGCCAAGGCTACTCTGAAAGATTGGGCGCTACTGCAAATTTCAGTTCAGATCTGTAATGAAGTTACAAATGCAATTTTTCAATGCCAGGACCAGAGGAGCAGCCCCTTACACATTCACAAAACACGTGTGCTCTATGTGAAGAGAAACAGGACAGCATCCAGCTCCTCAAAACTGCCCAGGCACATGGCTACATTCGCAGGTGCCTCCTGAGAGCTAACCTGCAACACTGGAGTGGGGCTGTCCAGAGCGCAGAGCTGCACGAAGCAAGACATCAGCTACTTCAACTAGCATTCACCAGAAGAAATCTGGTTCAGCTTTCAGTGAAGTTATTTCGAATATTCTTCACATCCACCAGCCAACATCTGTCAGAACCAGCTTATGTGGGCACCTGAGGATGGGTTCAGCAGGAGCCACGCCGCCCCAGCACCCTGGCATTCAGCGAGGGATCAGCTCTCACCCCACAGCCTGCCCCAAGCCCAGCCCAAAGGAGTGCTGCTGCCTTGCTCAGCCCTGAGCTCAGCTCTGCAAAGCAACCCTCTGGCTGCAGCAGGCGGTGTGAGGAGACTGGATCAGTACAGAGCTGCTGATGCTGTGGTTTCGCCAGCTTAAGAGCCCACAGCCCACTGTCCGTCAGCCTGAACCTCGGGCACCAGCCAGCTGCCAACAGCTGTGTGCTCAGCAGTTAGGTTTGGGGGAAAGCCTAGTTGGAGCTCAAGCAGCACTAAGACAAACCTCAGTGTCCAGATTTTCAGAGAATTAAATGCCTGTGTGACTTCTGAGCCAGCCTCCCTGGCTCACGAGCAGTACAGATCTTAATCAAGCCAACAGATTTCAAAGACAAAAACTTTGATCAGACTGAAATCTCCACTGCCTGTGGAAGCTCACTGCGCCCAGAGGCACGAGATGCTGCAAACCTCATGTGGCAACTTACCTGCTGCTGAGTATGAGCTGTTAGCCTTGCACTAAAGGATGCTGAAGCCTCCTGTTCATATGCCCGCCAGCCTGCTTACACCTCCTGTGCTTGGACCTGTGCTTTCAGCAGCAGTTCTCGCAATTTGTCTCTCTCAACACACTTACTCAAAATGAAAAGTATTGTCATTTTCAACTCAGCTGACCCAGATGTCAAAACTCCTCCTGTAACAGCGGTGCTTTTGCAGAGGCATCTGTGCAGCCTCACCTGCCACAGGCTGGCAGCTGTGGGCAGCAGCACAAAGCCCTGTTAGCTCTGCTCTGTAATGCTCCAGCACAACAGCTTTTGTGTGCAGAATACAGAAACGCTTTTGGGTGGCAGGATCTCCCTTTCAAATAAACCACTCTCTAGAGATGCTGGGGAAAGTCAACCAAGTTGACTTCAAAAACCACACTGGTACTTTGCAGATAACTGTGGTTTCAGTAACTTGAATCCTAAGGATTCAAAAAAAAAAAAAAAGCATAACTCATCTTCAAAAGATCACCATCAGTTTGCAGTCCAGCCAACTAACAATACTAATAGCTTTAACTACAATAGCTCCATGAAAAAGAAGGAAATCTATCCTCTCCTAACTTTTCCAACTGCGGCCATCGCACAAAAGGCAACTTCCCCTTCCTTTTTCTCTCTCTCCTACACCACCAAGTAAAACACCCACTGACATGTAAGTGTCAAACGTACACCAAGAATTAGGCTTTTATTCCTCTTGGCAACAACTGGGATATGTTAACAAGGAACGTGGAAGCTCCCGGACATTGAGGTGCTTTAAGCACGCAGCGCAGGCTGTGTGGGAAGCTACAAGACAGCTCCTAATGACAGATTCTGATGCTGCTCAGAGCTGAAAGATGGCAGCTGGGATCCCAAGAAGGGTCAGAACCCCTGCTATGCTTTACCTGCGTGGTCTGTGCGTATCCTTGGGCTGGCTGAGGTGCGTACGCGCTGTAGCTGCAAAATGAATTTGAAGATATTTACAATGCATCCCAGTGCTCGTGCAGTACATGCATCACACAACAGCTTTCTACAGCCAAATGCTTTCTGCGTTTGTGCTGAAGTGTTTAAATTGTGAAAGCAGCACATAAACCAAAGGAAAACCAAAGATTTGTAAGGCATACCTGAGCTAAGACTAAACCACAATTACTGCACGCTTACATCACAACTTTTTACAACAGAAGAGTAAGACCATAATGCTACTTACCCCTGCTGAGCTGCAGCTTGGCTATAGGTGCTATAATCTACAAGAAAAAAAAAAAAGAAGGAAAGAAAGGTTGACAAAGACTTAACAAAATTAACAGTGTAACGGCACAGCAGCTGGAATTTCCTCCCACAGCTTGAAAGAACTGCTATAAACCCCTGGAAACCTGGTTTCAAAAGAGTAAAGTAAATGCACTTTCTCAACCTTTTTGAAGGAAACGAAACCTCTCTTCCCTTCATTGTTTCTGCTGTCTGCAGCAGCAGCTTTGATCTCGAATGACCCCACTTTAATTTAACTGCCACCTTGGGTAGCACCCAAGGGACTGGTAGTGGGGTTTGGAACAAAAGAAACACAGGGGCTGACACTCACAAAAACCCCGTTTCAAAGGGCCAGGTTGTAAGTCCTTGAGGCTGTAAGAAACACAGCGCTTCACTCCTTCTATTTCACTTTCAAGGACACCAACGCATCACTGGAAACTTCTAACTCTTTTCCCCGGGAGGGTTTGAGACCAGCAGCTGGCAGCAATTCCTTCTCCCAAGTCCCAGCCCATGCCAATACTGTGATTTAGAGGACTGAAATCCAGAAAATCCAACCAGAAAAAACAATCCTCTGCTGAACTGGCTTGCTGCTAGGGATGGAAAATGCATGCAGATGGCAATTACAAGGCTATATTTGAAACGATTACAGCTCCTACGGGCACGCTTTCCCTCCAAGTCACCAAGCATTTCCAGGTCCCACCTAGAGCAAATGGCAGCAACGACTCCATCCCTAAAACCAAACCTTTCCTGCAGCTCCTCCAGCTCTCCCAGGACCAGAAAGGTCCCAAGGACAGAGATCAGGAAGGGGTTCAGACTTTCCTCATAGCACCCTGAGCTGGGATCAAAAACCAAACGTGCACAGAGCTCTGCTCAGAGCCAGGCAGCCCCACGCAGAAAAAAGTTCTGGCATTTCTGCTGCCACCACACCTTGTGTTAAACTGGTCTCTACTGAAAAAAAACGAGGACTGCGAGTTTGCAGAGCCTGCCTGAAGACTTCCTACAGCCCTCCATTCTCCCTAGCGCACAACATTACCACCTGCCACCACTGCAGCTGACGGAACAGCAGGAATCGCGTTAAAAATTCAGTTTTCATCCACCGCAAGCTTTTAATAAACCACGGGATGGGTCGGAAGGAACCTGAAGCACAGCTCAGCCCCAAGCCTGGGCTGCTGTCCCCAGAAGCTCAGGCTGCCCAGCGCCCGCGTAACGGAGCCGCACCGCGGATGGAGCGCACACAGCTCCGCACACCTCCAGCACCTCGCCGCCCTCCCAACACACCATTCCTTCATAACTGCCTGCCCAAACCTCCGTTATTTGAGCCTAAAGCTCCCACCCGCACGCAGCCCCAACGACCGTTCTCTCCCACGGCGGGGAGCGGCTCCGAGGCCCTCGCCGCGACACACAGAGAGCAGCAAAGGCCTCGCACCGCTTTCTGAGCGCCGCAAACCCTCCGGCCCCGCAGCGGGACGGGACGGCCCGACACCCGCGCACACCGCGCCGAGGCCCGACAGGCCCGCCTGACCGCAGCGCTGAAGGCCCAACGCCCCCTGCACGGCTCGGGATGCCCTCAGGCCGAGGTGCTCGACAGCGGCTCAAGGCCCGATCCGCGACCCCGCGGCCCAGCCGCCCGCCTTGTGCAGCTCATCGACCCGCGCCGCCCCGCTCACCCGTCGACGCCATTTTCTCTCCTTCCTCCTCCGCGCTCCCAACGTCCGGCCGCCGCGGCCGCCGCGCGCTGCGCATGCGCGGCCCCGCCCGGCGGGACGTACCACTGCGGGGAGGCGGCGTGGGGGGGGAGGGGCAGAGAGAAGAGGTGATTCGACTTCGGCGGCGGGGGGCGCTGTGGTGGGCGGAGCGCTGGGCTTCCCCCCCCGCGCTGAGCAGCGGGTGGTGCGGCCCGCCGCCGTTACGGAGCGTCGCGCAAGGGCGGTACGAGGGGAGAGGCGTGGCTTCAAGGAGGCGTGGCTTCAAGGAGGCGTGGCCAGTGAGTGACGTCACGTCAGTTGGCGGGATGGGGGAAGCCGCCGTGTCACACGTGGCGTGGGGCTGTGGGGCTGCGGGGCTGCTCCGCTCCGGGTCCTGCTGCAAGTGGGGGTCCCAGTGGTGACGTGTCACTGCGTGGGTATCCCACTGGTGGCATGTTGTGGGTGGATGTCCCATAGGTGTGGGTCGCTATTGGTTGTTCCAGGAGTGTCATGGGGTGCTGTGGGTATCCAGTGTCCCATAGGTGTCTGGAATAGCATGGGTCCCCCCCCTTCCCACCCCCCCAGTGCCACCCACCCGTGTCCCCACTCATACCAACAATGACACACAGCTCTGGGGACACCTTTAATGCCCAGGCAGTGCCAGGACAGCGTGGCAAGCATTGGGGTGGCCGTACCCCCCAGAACTGGGGTGTAGAGCAGCAGGGCCAAAGCTGGGGGGTCCGACCGGTGCAATGCCACCGGGTAGCACCAGGACCTCCATGTACACAGCAGGGACACAGCAGGGCTGCACTCTTAGGGCTGGCCAGGGAGAGCCTGGTGAGTGGGGGGTGAGCGGCCACGCTTGGCACGGGGGGTGCTGGGTGCTGGTGGGCCCCCAGGGCCACTGCCTGAGCCAGGCTCTGGTTCTGCGGGAGGAAAGGAGAGAGCTCTGAGGCCATGGGGTGTGGGGTGCCATAGCCCCAAGTGGTCTTCAGGGACCCCTGTATCACCATGGGATCCCCAGGCCATCAGGTCCCACAGGTGTCCCCAAGGATCCCTGTGCCCCCATGGGGTGCTGACCTCTGTGGGGTCCCCAGACCACCTTCACCCTTCACCCCCATGAAGTGTCCTGACACTGGGACATCCCTGTCACCACAAGGTCCCTGCACACGTTGTCCCCATCATCATGAGGCCCCCCACAAAGGTTCTTTGGACAAGTTTCTCCCGTTGTGGCTGTCCCAAGCTGTCCCCAAGTACAACCAACTACATGGACACCTCCCACTGTGTGGGGGCAGAAGGGGACAGCTGGCCCTGGGTGTGCCCCCAGATCCCCTCACAGTGTCCCCTCAGCACCACCACCCCAGCACGATCCCCATGCCCCAAAGGATGAGGAGCCCCTCCTGGCACCCCCGGCTGGCACGCGGGGATGGGGACAGAACCCGTGCAGCAAAGCACAGCTGGAAAGGGGAGACAGCGGGAGGGGGAGGGGGCAGCTGGCTATGGAGTCAGCCACAGTGCGAGGGGGGGCTGGGCCTCCTCCAGGGTCTCCCTTCGGCTTCAGGATGTTCCTAGGAGCTCCATGGTTTGCATGACCATGACCCGGGAGCTCCCAGGTATACCTTGGACCATGGAGCCATGCTGTGTCCCTCTCCCAAGAGAGCCTCCAGGGACTCCCTTGGTTTGAGACGGACACCAGGTGGATCTCTTGCACCAAGAGGAGCTCCAGTGCCTCCCTCAACCCTTGGAGAATAACCTTGATCCCTGGGGGATCTCCAGGGCCTCCCTCAACTCAAGAGGCTCTTCATGGTCTTCCTTGGTCCAAGAGGGACTCTAAGAGTCTCCCCTTGACCCAAGAGGAGCTCCAAGTTCTCCTTTGATCCTTGAGGATCTCCAAGGTCTCCCTTTGTCCAAGAGGGTCTCCATGGCCTCCCTTGGTCAAAGAGTTGCTCCATGGTCTCCCTTGTTCCTTGGGGGTCCCTCAATCCTTGGAGCAACCCCTCGGTCCTTGGACATCTCCAAGGCCTCCCTCAACCCGGAAGGGTCCCCTTGGTGCAATAGAGGTTCTCTACCATCTCTCTTGGTCCATGAACATCTCCATGGCCCTCCATGATCCTTGGACATCTCCTCAGCCCAACAGGCTCTCCTTGCTCCGTGATCTCCCTCTCTCCTAAGGGTGACTCTGGGGTCCCTCTCGGTCCCTCCCCTTGCTCCAGTCCCACTGCTGGGGGGAACATCGTGCCTGGCTGACGCGGAGGGGAGCAAGCAGCGATGCGGTTACCTGGCCAGATGATGGCTTCCAGGAGGGTGACCCTTCTAGCCAGGACCTCCAGGCGGGCCTGCTGCCGCAGCAGGGCTTGGAAGCTACTGGCCTGGTGGAGAGTGAGAGAGCAGAGCAGAGCGTGGTTGCCCCAAGGCACAGCACGGGCGCAGCCGGGCCGGGGGTGCGGTGCAAGCATTGGGGGTGCCAGGTCTCCCAAATGGGTGCAGGGGGCTTCCGTGGTCCCATGGTCCCGTGGTCCCATGCAAGGGACTCTCCTGTCCCCATGGGTCCAGGGAAGTGGGACTCGCTGGGGAGTGCCACCCCTGGCATGGGGTGGGGGGACACATGTGTCCCCATGGGGCTGAGGGAGGGGGGCACCTGCTGCTCCCCATAATGGAGCCTCATCGTGGATGGAGGGACCCCTGTGCCCCCCCCACGGCTGGCTCCTGCGCTCCCCCTACTCACCATAGAGCCCAATCATTGTTTCCAAGATTAAAACCCTCTCTGCTAAAATCTTCAAAGCCTCGCGGAGCTGGTGTAAACCCTCCCCCTGCGGAGGGAAGAGAGGAGTCGGGGGGAAGCCAGGGGCACCCCCAGCCCCACCACCATGCTCTGTGCCCCAGTACTGCATGCACAACCCCAGGAATGTGGGGAGCCGCGGGTAGGGGGGAGTGCTGGCCACACCATGACGTGGGGGAACAAGCACAACTGAGGACCCCCACAACCGAGCCACCCAGAGACAATCACTGGGCGCATTTGGAGACCCCCATGCCACCCCTGAGGTCTCAGGGACAAGGTGCAGCTGGGGACCCCCATAATATTATGGGGATGCCAGGGGCACCAGGTGAGTGCTGAGCACATTCGGGGACCCTCATGCTGTTCTTGGGGTCCCGAGGACAAGACATGCACTTGTACAGTTAGGGAGCCCCGTCCCATCCCTGGGACCCCAGGCACACGATGAGCATTGCTCACAGCTTGGGACCCCCATGCTGCCGTCAGGATCACAGTGACATGACATAGGAGCATTGGGGTACCTGCATGCCACCCCTGTCCCCATACCTCCCATCACTCACCCATGTGCCCTTGTCGCCCGGCTCGCCCTTGGGGCCCGGCTCGCCCTGAAACACAGAAAGGAGAAGGACAGGGCAGAGGGGGCGGGCAGGGGGCCCACCTTCGCCCCAGCACAGCCCCCATTCCTGGGGAGGCTCACGTACCTGTGCCCCATCCTGCCCACGGCTGCCTGGCTCTCCCTTGGGGCCCTGGAGGGAACAGATCACGTCAGCACTGAGGGGTGCATATGGGGTAGAGGCACCCATGCCTGCCCCCAAGGCTCAGTGCTGGCTGAGACCCCCCACAGCTCATCACACTCACCCTGTCGCCTTTGTCCCCCCTGGGTCCGGCAGCTCCAGGTGCCCCAGCTCTCCCCTGTGCAGTGACAGTGACAGTGCTATCAGCACTGGGGATGTGCCCCATGGAACGCCCCCCCCAGCCCAAAATGCTCCCAGACTTACATCAGGCCCTGGGGGGCCGGGCAGCCCCATGGGTCCTGGGGGGCCGGGGGGTCCTGCGAGGAGAATGAGGGGACAAGCTCAGCACAGTGCCCTCTCAGAGCTGCTGTTTGGAGGGGGAAGATGGGGGTGAACTCACCCATTGGCCCCATGGGTCCGGGGGGGCCAGCGGGCCCCACGATGCCCCCGGCCGCTTCAGTGAAGGTGTTGGAGAGGAGCGGGTCCCCTGCAGGAGAGGTCAGGGTGGGCAATGACCCCCAGCTCTGGAAGGGTTCAGCTGCTTGCTGGGGCTCAGCCCCACCTCCACCCCCCAGAACCCTCAGCCCCATCCTTACTTGGGTCAGTCAGCCAGGGTACAGCTGGCCCCACAGGAGCAGGAGGCCCAGGGGGGCCGGGGGGACCGGGTGACCCCTTTTCTCCAGGGAGACCCCTGGCTCCATCGTGGCCAGGGGGACCGGGGGGACCTGGGGGACCTGCAGGGAGGAAGATGAGGGTGAAGATTGATGGGGGTTAACAAGCTGGGGAGACTAAGAGGGCATATCCTTACCTGGGGGTCCCGATGGACCCTTCACCCCGGGAATGCCTGAGGGTCCCCGTCCACCTGCATCACCCTTGGGACCAGAGGGGCCGGGGGGTCTCCGTGAACCAGGTCTGCCTGCAGGGAGCAGCATCCTCAGGGGGGGATCTTTTCTCCAGCACTGGGGGCTGCCACTGATGCCACTGGGTGCTGCGGGCTATGGGACAGCCACCCCCCCTTACCTTTGTCCCCTGGGCTCCCCTGTGCAGCTGGGGACCCCCAGAGCTGCCTGGTATCAATCCTACCCAAGCTGTCACCTTTGGGCGTTGGGGACGTGGGAGCTTCTGCCACTGAGAGCCGGGCCACCTGTGGATGAGACAATGCTGGGGAGTGTGAGATGCCACCCCTGGTCCCCGTGTCCATGGAGGGGTGGCAGGGGGTGGTGGTCACCTGTGCCTCGAGGGTGGCCAGGCGTGCTGACAGCTCCCCGATGTGGCTGCAGTTCAGGCACCCTGCAGGGGACAGTGCAGGGCTTGGGGTGCGCCCAGGACCTCGGGATATTTTTGGGGGTGGGGGGCACCGAGGAGCTGAACCCACCTGAGAAAGCCGTGGGGCGCAGGGGAGAGCGACGTGGGGTGGTGCTGGGGCGTTCAGCATCACGCAGAGCGAGGAAGGTGTGGGGATCTGTGAGGGGAGAGGGTGTCAGGACCCCCCCTGGCATCACTGCTGGTGGGAGAACTCGCTCACCAGGGTGGTGCTTCACCCCAAATTGGGGAGGGGGATGGAGGCAGTTCTGCTGCTTTCTGCCCCATCCTTGCTGCTGGTGAGCCCCAAACCTATTCATGACTGTTGGTCAGACCCCCCCCCAAACCCACCACGGCCCTGAATCAGATTCCCCTTGAACCCATGATGGCCTGCCAGAATCCCTCCCACCCCCCAAATCCCACCCATGGCCAAGAGCCAGAGCCTCCACACCCGCCCACCCATTATGGCACTCCAGATGCCCTCAGTCTATTCCATAACCCTGAGCCAGATTCCCCCAAACCCACCCATGCCCACCAGCCAGGTCTTCCCAATCCCAGTGATGGTCCTGAACCAGTGCCCCCCCTGCTCCCCATCCCTAGCCCCCGATACCCCAAGCCAGCTCTCTCCATCCCCAGCTCAGGAGGACTACAATGCGGGGTCCCACTAAGGGGATGTGAGAACACGACCCAACGCAGAAGGGGCCGGAGCAGATCTTGTGTCACTGAGCCCCCCCACGCTGTCACCACACCCTGGCACAGCCACCACCAAGGCTGCTGGGGACAGCCAGAGCAGCCCTAAGCAGGCCCAGATGTGGGGCACTCAGCCAATGCATGGCGAGGAGAAGGAGGAGGGGAGAGCTGAAGCACGCACAGAGGAGGAGGAGGAGAAGAGCCCCTGCCACTGCTGTGCTGCTGCCACTCAGCTGGCCCCACGCTCTGGGGGTGGGCTGGGAATGTGTAGCCCCTGCCAGCTAACAGAGGCTGGCAGCTGCCAAGAGCCATGCGTGGCACAGGCTGGCACCCATTCATTCACTGCACACAGGCGCAGCTGCCTGGCTGCACACAGGGACAGACAGGCAGGCAGGCAGGCAGGCAGACAGACAGACACCCCCTTATGGGCGCATCCACCCACCCACAGGAATGTCCATCCATCCATCCCCCACCGACACCCCACCCGCCTGCTTTTCCGTCTATCTGTCCATGGAAACTGCTGTCCAACCATCCATCTGCCCACCCACCCGCTCAGAGGAACGTCCACCCATATGCCCACCTCCTCAGCCACCCAGCAGAGCGTCTCTCCAGCTGCCCACCCACACAGAACATCCAACCAGCTATCCACTGATCCGTTCCTGCATCCATGGTTGGAAACCCAACCATTTATTTGCCAGCCCACTCATCAACCCGTCCATCTGCACGCAGGAACATCTATCTGTCCATCTATTCATCCATCCATCCGTCCATTCATCCAGCTGTCCATCAGTCCATCCACTCACGTACCCACAGGAGCATCCATCCACTCACCTAGAGGAACAGCCATCTGTCTGTTCGTCCATCCATCTGTCCATCCATCCATTCACTTACCCACCTACAGGAACACCAATCTGTCCACTCATCCATCCATCCATCCATCCATCCATCCATCCATCCATCCATCCATCCGTTCGTCTGTCAATCCCACCCTCCATCCACCCAATCACCCACAGGAACATCCATCCCTTCATCCTTCCATCCATCCACCCGTCCACCCGTCCATTCATCTGTCTGTCCATCCATCCATTCACCCACTTGAACATCCATCCCTCCATCTCTCTGTCCACCTATCCACCTACCAATCCCTCTGTCTTTCCCTCCCTCCCTCCTTCCCTCCCTCCTTCCCTCCCTCCCTTCCTCCATCCATCCATCCATCCATCCATCCATCCATCCATCCATCCATCC